TATTTTTTCCATAGCACTTATTATTATATAACATTATATAACTTTATTGTTATGATTTTTAACCATCTTCCCCAACACACACACACATACACACGAATGTAAGCTCCATGAAAGCAGACATCTTTGACGGTTGTGCTTATTGATTTTCCTAGGTACTTAAAAGGGTGCCTGTCATATTGTAGAGACTTTATAAATAAATGCATAAGTGAATGCTGCAGTGGCAGTAGGCAGTTGTTGACTTTTCCTACTGCTTGAAGCTCAGTCAATAACCAACCTTACTACTTGGTTTCTAGGGTGTGTGTATGTGGTGGGAGGATGGGGAGGAGGATGATATTAATGTATAATTAGTTATATAGAGTTGTAAGTGCCAAAGAGGGCAGAGGAATAAAAAATATTGGGAGGTGAGAGGTTGAAAATTTTTTTTTTTTTTTTTTTGAGTTGGAGTCTCACTCTGTTGCCCAGACTGGAGTGCAGTGGCCGCTCCTGGCCACTGCAGCCTCGACCTGCTGGGCTCTGGTAATCCTTCCGCCTCAGACTTCCAAGTAGCTGGAACTACAGGCGCGCACTACCACACCCGGCTCATTTTTGACTTATTGTAGAGATGAGGTCTCGCTAAGTTGCCCAGATGGGTCTCGAACCCGCAGGCTCAGGCAATCCACTCACCTCAGCCTCCCAAAGGTGCAGGATTACAAGCTGAGCCACCAAGCCTGGTTGAGAGGTTGAAATTTTAGATGAGGGAATATCAGGGAAAAGTTGAATTGGGAATGAAGACCTGAAAGGCGTGGGGGTTCAAGTCTTGTGGCTAACTAGAAGAACATTCTAGGCAGAGTAGATGGCAGGTACAAAGACATGGAAGTTAAGATCATGCCTGATGTCTTCAAAAGGAAAGCAAGTGGCCCAGTGTGACTGGATCATGGAGAGAGAAAGAAAAGAGTGTAGAAAGCAAAGCCAAAGAGGTAAGCAGAGAAGAGGTGACCAGATCATACGAGGATTCGAAAATCATAAAAAGAACTTTTGTTTTTACCCTGAGTGAGGTGGGAAACCACTGGAGGGCTTTAAGCAGAGAATGCAATGAACTGACTCATATTTAACAGGATCATTCTTCCTGATATGTTGAGAATAGACCGCATAGGCACAAAAGCAAAAGTAAGGACGACAGCTAGGATACTGCCATAATTATCTAGGTGAGAGATAATGGTGGCTAAGACCAGAGTGGCAATAGTAGGTGTGATAAAAGGGATTCAGTTACAGAGATATATTCTTTTGTAAGACAGAGTCTCACTCTGTCACCCAGGATGGAATGCAGGGGCAGATCACGGCTACTGCAACCTCAACCTGCTGGGTGATCGTTCAGTCTCTGCCTTCTAAGTAGCTGGAACCACAGGTATGTGCCACTATGCCTGGCTAATTTTTTGATTTATTATAGAGACAAGGTCTTGCCAAGTTGCCCAGGCTGGTTTCAAACCCCTGGGCTTAGGCAATCCTCTCACCTCTGTCTTCCAAAGTGTTGGGATTATACGTATGAGTCACTGCTTCTGGCCAAGAAATATTTTGAAGGTAAAGTCAGAGGTAATTGCTAATGGATTGAGTGTGGGGTACAAAAGAAATATAGAAGTAGAAGGTAACATCACAACTTTTGGCTTAAGGGAACTTGAACATTAAAGTTAGCATTAGCCAAGATGAGGAAGGAAGAAATAAAGAGGTTGAGGAAGTCAGGAATGTGGTGTGAAACGTTAGCCTATGAGTCATGTCAAGGACATAGTTGGACAATGAATTGGAGAGGTCCAGGCAGAAGACAGAAATCTGAGAATCACAGCCCATTAATGGATTTTAACACCATATGATAGGATAGGGTCACCTAGGAAGTAAATGCAGAAAGAAAGGAAAGAAGTCCAAGGACTAGCCGGGACAACATCACATGCTTAGGAGATGATATGATGCATTAGCTAAATGGACTAGGATGGAAAGACCAACAATCTAGGAGGAAATCTGGTGAATGTGGTGTCCTGGGAGATAAGAAAACTTTTCCAAGGAAGGAGATTTGTCCAAATGTGTCAAAATGCTGGTAACAGGACACTTAAGACGACAATTGAAAAATGATTATTGAGGTTAGCAATGTTGAATGTTATGAATTGAACTGTATCCCCCAAAACACATATTGGGGGTACTAACCTCTGTTACCTCAGATGTTCTCAGAATGTGAGTTTATCTGGAGACAGGGTTTTTACAGATGTAATCAAGTTGAAATGTAGTCATTAGGATGGTCCCTAATATAATAGGCTTGAACCCCCATGGTTTAGAGACAGAGAGAGATAAGCACACAGAGAGAATATCATGTGAAGACTAAAGACTGGAGTCATGCTGCCTTGTCCCAGCAACAACCAGAGTTAGGAGAGAGGCCTGAACAGAACCTTCTGCAGCACCTTCGGGGGAGCATGGCTCTGCTGACATCTTGATTTTGGCATTCCAGCCTCCAGAACTGTGAGAAAATAGCTTCCCATTGTTTAAGTTACCCAGTTTGTGGTAATTTGACACTGCAGCCCTAGCAAGCTAATAAATGGAGATTATTGATGATCACGAGAAGAGAAATTGCAATGGAATTCAAAGGACCTGATTGAAGTAGGATCCAGAGAGAACAGCAGGGGAAGATTGAAGAGAGTGTGTATAGTTAAGTCTTTTAAGGAGTTTTTCTATAAAGAGAAAATGAGAAATGGGGCAGCAGGAGGAGAAACAAATGGCCCCAAAGAGGGTTTTTAAAAAATCTTTAAATGGGAGACATAATAGTATGTCTGATACTAATGGGAATGCTTCGTTAGAGAAGAAAAACTTGATCTTGCAGGAGAGAGAGGCAGAATCTCTGGAGTAATGACCCTGATTCAGCAAAAGGGGATGAAATCTGGTACACCAATGGAGAGAGCGTCTTTGGCTACCCACAAAGATGAGTTATTCATGAAGAATCTGAGGGAAAGTGGCGCATAGCAACACAGGTGCAGGGAGATGGCAGTGTCTCCATATCCTCCAATTTCTCAATGAAGTAGGAAGCAAAGGCATCAACTGAGAGTGAAGATAAGGGAGGAGGTGTTGGGAGTTGGCAGAGAGAGGAGAAAAGGAAATGGCAATCTGGGAATGTGGGAGAGAGAAGAAACTGGTTATAACTAGTGATTCTTTCCATGTGCTATTGAATCTGATTTAGTACTCTTTATTTAGAATTTTCTCATCTACATTTACAATGAAAATTGGTCTACCATTTTTTGGGAGTGGTTTACGTGTCAGGTTCTGGTGTGAATAAAAACAGAGATCATAACGATAATAACTACCATGACTGAGTCCCCTCTTGTGCCAGGCAATTTCTTCTAATTGTCTCATTTAATTCTCATAACAATGAGGAAATGATATACAGTCCCACTTTTTTAGATGAGGAATTGCAGCCAGGGGTGAGGGCACAGTGAAGTGATGTGGCCAACGCTGTAAAGCCAGGGAGCAGTGTGGGGAAACCAACCAAGGCCTATAGCTCCAAGACCAGTGCCTTTTCCCAGCAATTGATGCTAACTTTATAAACCAGCTAGCTTTTCATCCTGTTCTAAGTTCTGGAACAGATTCTATAAAAATGGGAATTATCTGTTATTTGGAAATCACAATAACCTCAACAGGAAAAAACATCAGTTTAAAAAATACAATATTTAAGGTGAGAAATAAAGAGGTAATGGCTTATTAAAGGACTAAACACCTTTCACTTACATGTAGCTATCTCTGCTTAAAATGATGATGATTTTTTTTTTTTTTTTGAGTTGGAGTCTCACTCTGTCGCCCAGACTGGAGTGCAGTGGCCACTCCCGGCCACCGCAGCCTCGACCTGCTGGGCTCTGGCGATCCTTCCACACCAGCCTTCCGAGTAGCCGAAATTACAGGCGCTCCACCATGCCCGGCTAATTTTTTGATTTTATTGTAGAGATGAGGTCTCGCCTGCCCAGGCGGGTCTCGAACCCGCGGGCTCAGGCAATCCACTCACCTCAGCCTCCCAAAGGTGCGGGATTACAGGCTGAGATGATTTTAATTTAATAAATATTCTTAGGAAAGCATGTGACCCATTCCTCTGTCAACCTCAATCATCACTGCGTTCAATCTGTCCCCAGTCATTGTTCTGTCTCCCAAAACATCGTAAAGTGATCCTTTTATTTTCATAGCCCTTGTTCTAGAGTAGGCTGTGGCCATGAGAGTCTGGGTGATGCCAATAGCTTTATGGAGGTTCTTCCTCACTTTCTTTCTTTGTCACTTGTACCCATTCTGTAAGTAGCAGCCAGAGGGATCTATTTTCAAAATGTTTTGGGTATTTACTGTCTTACAACAGACTGCTGCCCAACATAGGATGTAACTGTCAAATACTCAGCTGTATAAAATAATGCATGGTGCTTAAGCACAAGTGGAAACCATAATTTTTGAAAAATAAACACTTAAACATAACATAGAATCCTATAAAAAAGCATCTAGCCAAGTGGTTTTTAATTTGCTTATGCCAATCTTCTTTCTTTATATGTCTCCACTGACTTGCATTTATTGTCTTAAATCATATCTCCCAACACAAAAGCCAAAGTGTAATATATGGATAATTAATTCCATTGGTTTATAATGGATCACAACATACCCTGTTTTCTAGTGCTTCCCCTAGCAGAAAGAAATGAGATAAGTATATCATGATCATCTTTACATATTTTGTGTGTGGTCTATATTAAATGCTCAATAAATACTCGTTGAACATTATTAAATGAATACAATATTTGGTATTTTGTAGGAGAAGCTACCATTTTTGAGCAATAAACTAGATGCTTTGATAGAGTGCTTCCATGTTTACATTATGTAATCATGTGATTTTTCAAAAGTGTGATTTTTGAGCTCTCTGAGGTACTGGCTTTCTTTTTCATTCTTGAAAGTTGATTTGCAATACTTTTCACTGATTACATGCTTTTTCTTTCATCTAAAGTGTTGGTTTTCTCAAAGTTTACCTTGAAGCATGACCAAAGACTGTCGAAGCCGGCTGTTCTCTTTCCTGGTGTTTGTTAGTTTTTCTTTCAGGCTTTTTATTTTGGCACACAGTTCTTCCTTCGACAATTCTGCTAAAGGCTCCTCATCCTCACTGGAGCTCTCACCAGGCAAAAAGGCATTTCCCGAATATGGGTCTCTCTAAAATATAAAGCAGGCGCAACAAGAGAAGTTTCATAGAATCTTTAATGGCTTGCCCATGTTAAGTATGCTGAAGGAACATAATCAGACCTGCACATTCTTGTTCTCACAGGAATTTCCTGCTACTGATCTAGACCCAGCCTTTTCCTCCCCATCCACAGGAACTCAGGGTAAAGAAATAACAAAGTGTCATGCATATGTGCCTCTTGCAATGCAGAAATTAGGATTCTGACTTTCTGCCTAACTTCAGTGAAAAATGAGTAGAGAATTAGTATAACAGAGTAGACTCCACAAGACTGCCATTCAAATTTGGGCTCCTCTGATATGCAGTTTGACCTTGAGCAGAATATTTTCCTATCTGAACCTTACTTCTTTCATCTAGAAATGCATGCAGATAAATTATTTAACAAAACAGAAAAACATTGCTAGATGGTAGGATATACAAAAGTTGTTGTTTCCACATACCAGCTACAAACAATTAGTAACATAGTATTCAAGAGGACACCAGTTATTAAATGTCAGGACAGTTGTTGACTGTTAGGAGTATAGGGTAGTAACTGACAGGGGACACAAGACAATCTTCTGAGGTGCTGGTGATGTTCTATTTTTTGATATGTGTGTTTTTAGTTTGTGATAACTTATTGAGTTGTACTTTTTTATATGTACACTCTTCTGTCATTCCTCTTCTGTATGTGTGTGTATATATATGTGTGTGTGTGTGTGTGCATACATATGTATGTATATATTATACCCTAAAATATATTTTTTAAATCTTCGGAAAGTAAGTTTTTATAGCTTCTCTTGTCAGTTTCCAGTCCCTAGAGCCTAAATATTCTGTATTTATGTTTAAACACTGAGAACAGTTGTCATTAACACACAACAAAAGATGTGCAAAGTCTTTATGAAGGAAGCCAAAAAACTTCTGAAAGACACCAAATATGATATAATGTAGAGAGACATCATGTTCAGAGGTAAGAATACTTAACTTAAAAACTTTTAACTATCCCAAACCTGAGCCATAGAATTAATATAATTTCAATAAAGATCTAAAAAGATGTTTTGGTAACTTAATAACTTGGTTCTAAAATTATTATATGGAAGAACAAAAGGTCAAGAATATCCAAAGCAATCCTAAAGAATATATGAAACACTGTCTTTCTTCACACATATAAAGTGTTATTAAATATCTAGAGCAATTAAGAATATAGTACGGCACAGGGATTGACATGACCACGAAGTTGAATAGAGAGACCCCAAATAGATGCATGCACATGAGAAAATTTGATGTATGTCAGAAATGGCATGGCAGCTCACTGAGGAAATCAGATCTGTTCAACAAATGAAGCTAGAAAAATTTGATAACCATTTAGGAAAAAAATAAAAGGAAATGAATCCTCATTATACACACACACCTTCTAAAATATAAATTAAGAATTTAGACATCAAAAGTAAAACTTTAAGTTTCACAAGAATATATAAGTGCCTATAATTTGAAAGTGGGGCAGGAAAGGATTTCTTAGGCATAAAATCATTGGTCATCATAAAAAATTAATAAATTAAAATAAATTGTATTCATTAAGGCACATTAAAGAAAGTAAAAAGATACATCACAATTGGTGGAAGATATCTGCATCTGTTAAAATTAGTAAGGAAAAATAAACTAGCAACTCAACAGAAAAATGGGCAAATCACATGAATAAGCATTTTAAAGAATAGAAAACATATATGGCTAATAAGTATACAAAGAGATGTTCCACTTCATCAGCAATCAGGGAAAAGACAATCAAGATCACAGTGAGATATCACTTTGGGCAAAAAATTAAGGAGTTTGACAAAACTATGAATGGAGTGAATGTAGATCAATGGAATTTCCTATATGTTATTGGTAGGAACTCAAACTGGTGTAACTACCTTGCAAAACATTTTGACATTGTCTTGTAAAGTTTAACACTCACCTACCCTCTGATCTTGAGTTGATTCCTAGTTCTAGAGAAACTTTTAGTATATATATAAGAAAATATGTCCAAGACTTTCAACTACAGCATAGTTCACAATGGCAAAAACCTGGGAAGAAAACCCAAGTGCCCATTAATAGCACAATGGGTCAATGAATTGTGTTCGAAGACCAGATATCTCTCCCCAGATGCAGAGCTCATGTGTAAGATTCCTAAAAACTTGGAACATTTACTAAGAAAAAAAGAAAGTAGAAAGTGGAGAAGAGTAGAATTTATAATGTATTGAGGCTTAAATCCTGAAGTGGCTGAAATAATAATAGCTCAGAGGAACCGTTTTAAACTAGAAAATGAACTGTAATTAATTGTGAATGGACAAGGTTAAGTTTTTTTTTTTTTTGGTCTTATCAAGTAGGAATGAAGAATTGAGAACCAAATGAGATCAGTTATAGAAAATACAATTACATTTTTGTAAGGTTTACAGCATTTACATTCAATACTTATTTTGCATATATATACACATGTTTATGTGTACAGCTTTCACTATTATGTGTTTTATATATATGTAATACATATATGATAGTAATGAAAATGACTAATATCATATTGGGGCTAATAGCTAATTTACTCACATTAGATGTATAATTCCTAAAGAAAAAAAATGATATACTGATTAGATGAATTTAAATAAATAAATAAATGTATTTATTTATATATTTATGACAGAGTCTTGCTCTGTTGCCCAGAATGGAGTGCAGTGGCATGATCATAGCTCACCGCAACCCTGAACTCCTGGGCTCAAGAAATCCTCCTTTTTTACCCTCCGAAAATGCTGGGGGATTATAGGTGTGAACCATCATATCTGGCTGAAATGAAGAAAATTTTAATAACTGAAGGATTCCAGTTGAAACCATAACTGTGTGAGTGAGTAGTAATTGAAAAAAATTAAACTAGCAAGTTTTAGCAAGATGCTACAAGAAATAAAGGCTATTAGGTAAATGTTAATCCATTTGTAAGCAACAATGGAAGGAAATAAAGTTAATAGATAATTATTAGATTGGTTAAGATATTTGTAATATCTCAAACTACAGGAGACTAATTTCTACACTAGATAAGGTATTTGTGCAAATAGACAAGAATAGAACAGGAAACCCACAAGAATAAACCAAGAAAATCAACAGAAAATATAAGAACCTAATAGCAACCCCAGACTGCTCTTATTATCATGTAAGAAGGAAATAAACTGCATCCTGTATAAGCCATGGTTATTTGGGTTTTCATTATAGCCTTTGCTATGTATATCATAATTTGGTACCCAGAAGTAGGAATGCCTAAGATGTGAAATATATGATATTTGAATTACTGGGAGGTCAGTGGAGGGCATGGAGTATACAGGTATAGCATGCTGGAAAGCCATTGACTCTTGTTGGACCTTGGTGACCTATTTGGTGAGACTGCTACCCGGAATACCTTTGAAGGTTGCCCACATACCTACTGACCCTAGAGAAAGAATGTTTGTGTGTATCAGCTACTTCATGTCAATGCTAGCTAATGCACAAGCAGGCATGGAAGGCTCTGAGTGTGGCATGCAATCTCATATAACATTATTAGACTGACAGTCCAATAATGTTATATCTTCACAGTTTGTAAAAGCCAATCACCTCTATATCTAAATAGCACGAGGTAAGACTGTATCCTTAAAGCTTTCTCAAGGGTTTTTCTTTAAGTGTTCTCTGACAGATAATGGGATCCAGCCCAGTGGAAGCTTCAGATTCAGTCTATTACTTTTAAACTTTTTGTTTCATATGACATTTAGGTAACTGTTATAAATTGGAGAAAAAAGAGGCTGAGCACAGAAGCCATAACGAGTTTTCAGGCTTAAGATGTATAACCGAGTAAGAGCTCGGACTGTAGTGAATTGCAATGAAATCAAATCAAAATAAATACTTTAGCCAGCTATTAAATTTTTGCTCAAGTGTTGTGGTTTATAACACTAGCATAGAGCATGTGACTAATTCTCCCCTTAAGCAGCTCCTGAGGCCCTACTCCACAAGCCTGCACCAGTAAATTAAACAAGGAGATATTATTTTTACCTATCAATTTGGGCGAAAATTAGAAATTTAAATATTAATTATAAGTGTCGGAGGGAGCTGCAAATATGGAAATCTCTTATGCACCACTGCTGAGTATGTAGACTAATGTGAACATTCTGGAAAGCAATCTTATAATATCTAGTCAAATGAACTTGGAATAAGCACATGACTTGTGAGCTGTAAGTCACCCTCCTATGTATTTATCCCAGAGAAATTCTCACACTGTTTCTTAAAGAAGCATATAGAGGGATATTTATTTTGTCACTGTTTGTAGTAGCAAGATGCTGAAGGCAATCTAGCTATTCATCACTGGAGGAAAGGCTAAATAAAACATGGCACTATGCAGCAACTGTATGTAATGCATCAGCTGTAAGCACAGCAATATAAACAGATATTAAAACAGTGCTGACTGTATGGAAACAACCAAAGTGTCTGTCAATGGATGAATGGAAAGGAAACTGTAGTATATATGTAAATGGAATATTATTCAGTGCTAAAAAATGAGATCTTGCTATTGGCCACAATGTAGACGAGTCAGATACAGAAAGAAAAATATTGCATGATCTCACTTAATTTAAAAATTTTAAAAATTACATATACACACCCTCACACACACACATACACACACACACATAAATACAGAAAGAGAGAACAAAACAGTTATCACCGGGTCAGATGAGGCTTAGGGGAAAGAAAATGGGGAGATGTAAGTCAGAGGATACAAAGTATCATATAAGTAGGATGGACAAGCCTAGAGAGATAACCTATAACACGAGGACCATGGGTAATAAAATTGTGCTGAATGTGGGATTCATGCTAAATGAGTAGATTTTAGCTGCTCTTCCCACAAAAATTTAAGAGTGGAGACCCACATGAGATGGTGAATATGTAAATTTGCTTCACTTTTTAATATCTAAATGCATTCCATAACATGATGTTATACATCTAAAGTATACACAATATAATTTTTTTTTGAAAAACAAAACAGTGGTGATTGAAAACTCAGACTTTGGTCTGTATTGCAATACCAAAGTACTACTAAATGATATATACACAAGTAAATGTATTACATAAATACACAAGTAAAAAGATGCAGAATAAACACATTGATTGGTTGTCCAAATTATAAGAAAGGATAATTTTTTTTAAATTATAGGAAGTGAATGAAATCGGGCAATTCAGATTTAAAAAGAACAACTGAATAAATAAAAGTAGAGAAGGGGCCCTGACCAAATCAGGGGTAAAGATAGGCCACAATTGGGGTCTAAAAATAAAAACAAACAGTAAATCTCAAAGAAGAGGCATTCCAATGTGCAGTATTTTGGGAGAGGAAAACATATTTTCTGACTGTTTGCTGGTCTTTATTTTCCTGGTATATCATAGAAAGTTTGAACAATGACATATTTGGTTGTACTTATATAAAAGCAGTATATTGTCTATTGTGCATGTTTCTAATTCAACTTGTTAAACATTAAAAAGAGAACATAAAATTATATTATCTCAATTAAATAGAAAATTAAAAGGAAGAATGACATAATAGAAGAGGGGGAAGTACAAGTAAATCATAAAAGAAATAATGGAATTATAGTTGTACTAGATAATAAAACTGAATCAAGGTAACAGAAAACCAACCTGTCCTTTATCCATGTCACTGTTTGCATTCTCTGAGTCCATTGTCTCTGTCCGTTTCCTCTTTCCTTTTCTAAAAGCTTGGGTATTGGTAATTTCATCTGTCTGCAAGATCTTCTGCATTTTCTCAATTAGTTGTCAAAGGTTTTCTGAAATTGTAGGAGAAGGGAATGTCCATGGAGATGATACTATTCTGGACGTAGCCCAAAAGTTAATGTTTTTCCTTAAAAACAAGAACAAAGAATACACAATGTATTTACAACTGCATGTTTCACAACAGTACCTGCCACTCAGGTAAACTACTCTTCCTACATGCTTCCTATTGTTTTTACAAATGAAATTTAGTATATTTTTTCATTTGACCCAAAAGTCTTCCAATTTCATCATCATTACAAGGATGTTCATGCTTCTATGATGTGATATGCAATGAGTTGTCACATCAAATGGTGTAAAATTTTTTCTTCATAAGTTTTTTTCTTGTCAAATAGTTATGAAGAGTCTAAAAACAAAGTAGAAACATCATAAATTTATAGAAACAGCATCTCAGAGGACTGAAATTATATATTTTTAGGAAAAAGACATTAATAATAGCAGATTTCACAAGGAGCAAAGACCAAAATATTCCAGGGAAATCAGTAAGAGTTGCTTAGAAGTGTTTTTTTCCCCACTAAAAACACTGAAGTCTTGAAATGAAAGATATTCCTTGGTGCGACCTGAAGAATTGTACCATAAAAAACATAAAATATATATCAAAGGTAATAGTATATTTTATAAACATTTTGAGGGATAAAAGGTTTTCAAAATCTGATAAAGTAGATGATAGTCCATAGGTAGACTAGGACTAAAACTATAAAACTTAACTTTTGTTATGTACAGATGATAAAGCACATTAGGTCTTAACATTCTTATTACTTGCATATATTGGTTTGTTTTTGTGAAATTGTATTTAACTATAAATAAATAAAACTTTATAGAAAGAACCGAGCTTATGACTTCAAGAAATATGAGGACATTTCAATAGAAGGTAACATATGCTGCTCACCAAACTAAGTGATCATTTTAGAAAATATGGATGATCTTGCCAAAATTGCTTGTGAGTCTTCTTTGAAAATGTACTTTAGGTTTTCCAGTATATGCATAGTGCTTGAGCTAAAACATAGTGCTGTACTGTCAAATCTGACTCGCAGATATCAGAGATCTTACCCAGTGTCCATCTTTACTTAATAATTTCAAAGATAAAAGCAATCAAGAGGTACAGGCAAAGTCGGAACAGGTCTTAGGCATCCCGTTGGCTTCCTAGATCATCCCTTCTCACATTATATATGTACTCTGTGGTCCAGAATAATAGGTGAGGCCTCTAAATTAGGACTGAGGGTTACCTCACATAGTGGAGAGTTGTGACACTGTTTAAGTTGTGACACACCGCCATTTTATATGTCAGAGTTGTAGAGCTTGCATAATATCCTTTAGGGAGTTATAAATTTATGGATTCTACGTATTTTGCCATAAGCAATACTTAACTAAGGATATACTGTTAAGAGCATTCCACAGACACAAACTTTTCACCTGGTAAATATCATTAATCTATTTGCAAGAGCAGGGTTGACAGACAAACTTTTTCTGTAAAGGGCTACATAGTAAGTATCGTAGGTATTGTAAGCCAAGAGACCAAATGTAGGATATTATATAGTTATTTATATAGCAAGAAAGAAAACAAATTTTCACAAAATTCAAAATATAATAATTGAACATAACTTTTTGCAAGAGATTTACTATTGAAAATAATATAATTTTTGAGAATCTTGCTTAATTGGGGTTCAAAATTAGTGTTCCCTATTATCAAAATCAATTGCAAAATCCCATCTGCTAATGCTGACCTGTAATGAGAGCTTATATATTTCCTCTTTGAAAATGTCTTTCATACTGATAGGTATTGGCATACATTGATATTAATCTATGAGCTTATACTTTTCTTAATTGAGATAAAATTTATATAACATAAATTCTCCATTTTAATCACTTAAAAGTGTGTACACCCATTTAAAGTGTACAATTCAATGGTTTTTAGTATATTTGTGATATTGTGCAATCATTATCAAGAAACTCCATACCTCTCAATATGAGCTTATAATTTTAGTTGAGCTTATTCATCTCTTAGGAGACTTTCATAGAATTCTATTAGACTCTTCTCTTGATATTTGCCTTCTAATATGTCATTACATTGCCGAATTCATTACTTTCAATTAAAGTTTAGGTGGAAGCTCCTCAATTTCACAGCAAAATGGAATTTGAAATATGGAAATTTTTCTTGTATTTGTATTGAGATCTGAGAGACAGTGCTGGAACTGTAATCTGAACCTGAAAAATATATCCATTGAAAATCTGAGTGGGGATGGGGAACACATTTCTTGTTTTAACTTCTGACAGCAAGAGAAGTGAATAAAGCAAGTTGACATTACTTATGCATCATAAATTAGTTTTTATTAAAATGACTTTACTTCAGTATAAGTATTGTTGTAAGTGCTGGTTTTGTCATGCAATTTTACCATGCAAGTTCTGTTTTGTTTTGGTTTTTTTGAGTAGGAGTCTCACTCTGTTGCCCAGGCTGGAGTGCAGTGGCACACTCGTGGTCACCACAGCCTCAACCTGCTGGGCTCAGGCAATCCTTCTACCTCAGCCTCCCAAGTAGCTGGAACTACAGGCACATACTACCATGTCCAGCCTATTTTTTGATTTACTGCAGAGACAAAGTTGCACCAAGTTGCCCAGACTGGTCTTGAACTACTGAGCTCAGGCAATCTTCTGGCCTTGGCCTCCCAAAGTGCTGGGATTACAGGCTTGAGCCACTGTGCCTGTCCTGTCCTGTAATTTACTAATAAATTCATTTAAGAAATTTTAATTATTCAGCAAAATCTTATTTCCAAAGCCATTCAGTGGTCCATAAGGGTAGTTGTGGGCAGTCTCATTCACAAAATTTTCAAACTTGGCCCTGAGTGCAAACATGTACAATGAGTCTTTGCCATTGCTAATCTCTTTCAAAATGCTGTGTATTAGGGTAAATCAGAATGCTCAACTTCTATTTCTGAAAAAATTCATGGAACTGATCATGGTCAAGTCCACAAGAATGAATGACGCTCACTGTTGACACTATTGGTTCAATAATACATAATATTTTCAGAAATTGTCAAGGTGATTTTAAAATTTATATGGAAATTCAAGAGACTCAGAATAACTAAAATAATTTTTTTAAAAAAATTCTAATTTATAGAGACAGAAATAGATTAGTGATTCTTACTGAGGAGCAGAAAGTTCAAGAGGGAATGAGCAATGGGATTTCTTTTAGAGGGGACAAAAATGTTTTTAAAAATTGACTTATGGTGCTGGTTTCAAAACTATGTGAATATATTATAAAAATACTGAATTGTACATTTTAAATGTATAAATTGCATGGTATGTGAATTATATTTCAGTAAAGCTTTTTAAAAAATACACCCAATAGTTTCAAATATTTTCTGAAAAGAATCTGCTGATGAATAATAAAGTAAATAACCATAGGTCTTAAAAAACTTACATTTTCATAAGCTCTGTAAATTTATCTAACTAAGCCTTTTTCTGCTCTACACATATTTTTAACCACCATCAGTTGTAACACATCTTAGTAGATCCCACTTCAGTTTGTACTAAATTAGTGTTTCCCAATTTCTTTGAAAATATTCTTACCCACAGTTTATTTCATAAAGACTACTTATAGAGGCTAATTAGTCACTCTAAACTCAGTACTTGTTCTTCAAATAAGAAAAAAGAGAAGTAACCTCTGTTGATTCATCAAGAACCAAGAAAAACTTACAGTCACTTGCCTTGTTCTCTTTTTTTTTTTTTTTGAGTCAGAGTCTCACTCCATCACCCAGGCTGGAGTGCAGTGGCACACTCACAGCCACCCCAGCATCGACCTGCTGGGCTCAGGTGATCCTTCCACCTTACTTTTCCAATAGCTGGAACTACAGGCACGTGATACCACACCTGGCTAATTTTTGATTCATTGCAGAGATGAGTCTCACCAAGTTGCTCAGGCTGTTCTTGAACCCTTGGGCTCAGGTAATCCCCTCACCTTAGCCTCCCAAAGTGCTGGGATTACAGGCTTGAGCCACTGAGCCCAGCTACCTTGTTCTTAAATTGATTACAGTGCTGCTTCCATTGTTCCCAATTCTTTGAGCAACTGTTTTGAAGGCTATAGTCTTAAGCTATTGCATTCAAGTATGATTTAATTAACTCATGATCAGTAAATGGCTTTCCTTGCTTGGCTAACAACTGAGCCACTAAGAAACTTATTTTGGTTTTAGACTCACTTTCATTTTTTGAAGAAATTCTGTTGTGTGAAATATGAGGTACTTCATTTTGAATTTTCTAATTTTTCTTATTGTTACTTTCCTGTGAGTTGGAAATACTGCAATGACTGCTTAGTCTGCTAATACTGCTATGTATCATATTCTCTTAGCACAACTATAGTGTCACTGTACAATTAATACAATACATTGCCACCTAATTTGATAACAAAACAACCCACATTCCACTCTGTTTTGATGGCACTAAGTCTAGTTTTGCCTTTTTTTCTTCTTTGGCATGATTGATAATAAAAAAAAAAAAAAGTCATAGTATGACACTCAAAATGCTTTCAAATTACTAGAGCCACATCACTGTGATTTGTGCACTGAGCAGCACTACAAAGAAATAAGGTTGCCCCATATGGTCTCTGTCACTACATAACTCTGCTCTCATAGTATCAAAGCAGCTATAGGCAGTACATAAACACATTAAGTATGGCCATGTCCCAATTAAGCTTTGTTTATGAACACTGATGCTTCAATTTAATATATCATAAAGTGTTATTCTTATACTGATTTTTAAAAAATGATTTAAAACTGTTAAAAACATTCTTAGCTTACAGGTTGTATGAAAACAGATGGCAGGCAGATAAACTAGGATTTGCCAAACCCTGACCTACAGGTCTAGTTATCATGTTTAAAAGGAGTTTAGATTGAATAACCTGCCTTCTTTATTTCATCTTTATTTACTTTTCCTGGTAGGCATGCCATTTGCTTTAATTCCTTCTTCTCCAGTGCCTTACTTTATTGTATATATTACTTACAAATTTAAACAATACAGTAGTTCCTCTGCTTCCCCAGTTTTGCTTTCCTTAGTTTCAGCTATTTGCAGTCAACTGCA